CTCTATGGAGAGGAGCTAAAAAACGCTCCCCCTGTCCTTGTGTGAGGACAGTAACCAATGACAAAACTGAAGCCTACCATTAGAGCCCAGTTTAACCATGCTGGAGTCCCTCCCCCAAGATTCCCAGACCCCTCTTCCCACTAGTCCCTAGCCTTTTGAGAGCCTGGAACCTTGTGTCTGATACAGTCGCTGCGAATTATAACTCTGGTCTGATCTGCTGGTGAGCATCTGCTGGGTCACCAGCATCTTAGTCTGAGCATCCGTATTTCCTTCCTGAAGACCTGACGAGCACGTTGTTACGCTCATCCCATATAATCTTCATGATAATTGCCCTCAAACAGGGGGCCACATATAGCCAATCCTGCTCTGATTTCCTCCCTCTGCGGTGGGTACCTGAAATAATCCATTCGTCTGACCACTCGCAAGTATCCACTGTGAGCTCTTTCCAATGTGAAATCCACCAGTCCCAGATTCTGCGTGAGGCTGGACAGGTGCGCCAAAGGGGTGCCTGGTAGTCTCCCACGGCCACCGACCGCGAGCCCATACCATTGAAATTTGCATTCCCCTGGATGCCAAGTTGTCGCTCCCCAGAATGGTAGGAGGCAGAGCCAAGAAGCTCTGTTATTTGGGACAAAAAAAAAAAAAAAAAAAAAAAAAAAAAACCCACTGAAGCAGTGGCCAGAAAGGATTGGAGGCACGGTATACTGCTAACTTCTGAGAGGGTATGGCTTTATATTGCCGCCACAGAGTGGAGGCTCTGGAGAGCTGATCTTCCGAGATCATTAGCAGGTCCCCATCTGCTCTGCGCTTGGCAACTGATAAGCCAGGGGGGTTAGGTAGGTACTAGGTACCCTTGCTCTCTGAATGGGAACTCCCACTTTGGCCTTATAGTTAGTTTGCCAGACTTATTGTTTTCTGCTCCGGCGCGAATCCAATAAACCATCCTATAGTGCGAGTGTCAGCTGCCGCTTCCGCAAGAGGGAGAAGTCCCATTGGTAGGGTGGCGGACCGACTACTAGTTCCTCTTGCATCTCTATTTCTTCTGAGCTGAGTTTGGACTGCTATTTCCATAAAGTCAATGATATCAGATACTAGCTGCAATGCCCTTTGTCCTGGGAGATTAAACTGCTAGTACACGGCCCCAGCCGTGCAGAAAGTTTTCGTCTCCACAGGCAAAACTCGGACGGAGGCGCCGCTCGGTCAGGCCCGCCGTTGAAAAAAAAAATCGGCGGCCTCCGAAGTGGTGCGGGTTTCGTGCTGACACCCGTGGGCCGATATGTGGTGTACTGGTGCTTTAACTCCTTAGTAAACTCCACAGAGCTATCCACCAGCCATTCATTAGCTAACCAGCCCTCGTCCCCCTCAGGTCATCAGATTCTGTAATCTGATGAACAACTGGTTGTTGGGCAGCTTTTGAGATACACCATAGGCCTGCCCGATACGGGAATACCCTCCACTTTCAACACTTGAAGCCATGAGGAAGGGATCGCTCGTTGGGTAGCAACCAATCTACAAAGTTTTTTTTTTCTGTAAAAAAGGATGACGGCCTTGAGATATTATCATTGAGCTGACCGGCCCCAAGCAATTCATTAGTAGTTGGTTTTACTCGTCTACTCGTCAAGTTCCATCATCTGGATTCGAACACAGATCTGCATTTCTTTCAACAGTTCATGGGTGTACGTGTACCCACTGAGTAGGCTCTTGGGTAATCTACGAACTTTGATCTTTACTTGATCCAATGGTTTCCAATTCCCCTTCAACTCATCCCACTCCCCGTTTTATCGAAGACGTTCACAAAGTTACCCGGGGAATCATGAGCAGAAAACACCTTTCCGTCCTCATCTACTATAAGAGGATAGCTGCTCTAGTGGACGGACCTTCTCTGTCCGGTGGGAATACCTTTTTCCAAGCGTATAAGATCTCTCTCCAGAACTTAGACTTCGGTTGTTTGTTGACGTATGAACCAATCTGGAGGCGAGCCAAAACATCTTCATCCAGACTTTGGTTGTTTGTTGACGTATGAACCAATCTGGAGGCAAGCCAAAACATCTTCATTCCGACCTAGAGACCGTTCCCCTCACAGGGTATAAGGTGGCCAGTTGCAGCCATGGGGTCAAGATCCGCCGAAAGCCCTTTCTTGTTCTTGCTCATATCTGGATGGAAGTGTCCACAAACTATATCGAGAGAAAAAAAAGGGGAAGTGTCCACACTTGGGGCATCGCCACACCAGTCTCGAAATGTGCAAAATGAGAATGAACCTCCTGCTAGAACATGGTCAGGTGCATCCACCGCAAATGAACCTCGTGCTAGAATGTGGCCAGGCGCATCCACTGCATTTTTGTCTTTGTCATGTTTCGAGAGTGATGTGACGACGCCGTTGGCTTGCATATGTTGCGTTTGTGACTCAATGGGTCTCGCCACACCACTCACGAGATGTGGAAAAGACAAAAATGTGGCGGGTGCATCTGGCCATGTTCTAGCAGGAAGTTCATTCTCCTTTTGACACATTTCAAGAGTGGTGTGGCCATGCCCAATCAGAGCGTGCGGCTGTTAAACCACCAGTACCTACGGGGGGCGAGGTCCCACTAGCAAAGACGGTTGGAATAAGCTCCTGAATCTGGACGTGTTTTGCGAGGAGATGCAGAAACGCAGTTCGGTCTCGATTTTCTGCATCATTCCACGAACACGTCTAGATTCAGCCGTTTAATCCAATTCTCTTTCCTAGTGATACTGAGGCCCGGGTTCTGAGCCCCCCTCTGACGCGAATGAATACAGACCCCCATGCGGTAGACGACAGACCCCTTTATCCACGGCATTAAGGCCTAAAAAACCCAGTAACAAAAGAAGGATGGTTACTTTTTTTTCATTGCCCTCTGAATCTCGTCGTATAGCACAAGGATCAGTGCACTCCCTTCACCACGAAGGATGTTCAACCAGGCGCCTTTGAAGAAGGCCCTCGGCCCTTCATGTTTCCAGATTGTCTTCCAGCAGTGCAAACTGCTCTTGTACATTGGGTTATCGGATCCCGATTGCAGCATCATTCGCCGGCGGACTGTGTCAAAGGGGTAGGAGATCATGCCAGCGCAGGCAGTCACGGCTTGGGCCACCATCCATTTGTGCATAAGGGGCGTGTTTTCGGGGTCTTGGAAAAGTAACCCCTTTGCGGTGTCAAAGCCGCCAAAGAAGGCTGCACGGTACATAAAAATACCCTGTACGGACACGCCGAAGCCCCTGTAAAGCCCAAAAAAGCCATCGGTTTTGAAGATGGAAGACAAACAGTGTACTAATCCCCGGAACTTGCGATCGCTTCCTCTGCCGACGTCAACAGCTAGTCGAGTCCTCGCCAGATCCAAGGGATAGACAAAACAGAGGGAGGTGGCTCCAGCTGCCCCACCGGCCGTTAGATTGCCAATGACGAACTTCCAGAAGTCCTTCTTCGAGTCATAGGGATTAAAGATCTGTTTGTAGACGTCTTTCAGAGCGAAGTTCAGGCCTTGGGTGAAGAAACACCGAATGATGTTGGGAACATTGCCTCTCCAAAAGGACAGTATTCCTTGTTCCTTCGCAACTCTGGAAAAACAGTCTACAATTCCCTTGTAACGCTTGTCGTAGGGTAGCTGAGGGTTAGCTTCTTGGGTCTGGAGTAGTAGTTTAACTCTCTCGAGAGGGGCAACAACAGTCTCAGAGACACCAGCAGAGACACCTGCAGCCAACACGTCCACGTACAGGGGGTAAAAAGGATGACAGGAGTGGGCAAAGGAGGGGCACTTCTCTTCCTTAGGAGTAGGGAGCATCAGCATGAGTCCGTTGCGAACCCTAGTGTTGTGCATCGGGACGAACCGCTGCCCAAGTGCTTGATCGAACGGTCGAGCAAACTGTGAGGCCGAAGGTCCAGGAGGCACGAAACACGAACGGCTCACAACACCAAGGCACCGGTCAAGCAGCTGAGAGCGCCAAACACCAGACGGCGGAAGATTGACAGCCCTCCTGGTCGTCACACTTGGAGGGGGACTCTCCATCACCGAAAGACATCCAAACCCGCATTTGGATCACTAAGTCTTGCTGCTCCTCCGCTAGCTCATCACCATATCCACGTCGTCAGCACCCCTGCGTTCGCCGCCCGCCACCCGCCGCCCACTGCCTAGCGGGTTCTCCCTCCTCGGCCTCTCCGTCTGTGAGACTCCATACGTGCCCACACGAACCTTGTTCTGTCTCACCTTCCTGTCTCTGAAATATACGTCCACACACGCCAGTCCGCGCGCAGACGCGCATGCACACACACATGCACACACACACAAACGCACACACCCACCCACACCCACACACACACAAAGAAA